ATATATGTGTGGATGTATTTGTTTGTGATTTGTGGCTCCTAGGAAAACAACACTGCCAGCTGTGCCACACATGTTACCCCGAGTGATTCATCGATCAGTGATACACCAAAGTCTGCAAATGTCTAGACATGGCAGAGTGGTGAGGAATACAAAGATGATAGGATTAGAAAAATAAGAAATAAGATTGAGGAAAGGTGTGATGAATGTGCAAAAAAGCGACACAGCAAAAGTGTGATTCTAAAGGTGAGGAGGCTAGTCTAGGAAGTGTAAATGTCCTGTAAGCTCTACGTGCATTACTTAGTCAGACAGACATACTGAGACATGCCTACATAATTATTCATAGTCACCTCAATTCTTCACCTCCTACCACCATGTGGCCCTTTTTCTTACGCAACCTCCTGCTGCACTGGCAAAAGCCTAAGTGCTGGCAAGCCATGAAGCATGTAATCTCAACATACGATCACAGAGCACACCATCTGCTGGATACACGGTAGGGAAAGTGAAAAAAGATTGAGAGGAGAGGTCTGATAATCAAAGGAGGTATTGTTGTAATTATTTTCCCACCAGGAACACTTCTGTTGCGTGCTTTAGAAATCTGACCTTGGACCTTCATTACACTTCTCTTGCCCTGAAGGCAGTGCAGCTGGCTTGGGGAGTGCAAGACTTGTTTAGGACCTTGAGAAGCCCACCGGAAAACAAGTGGGATGCAGCCAGCTATGGACTCATCTTTGCAGACGTCAAATCATCACCCTCACACATCATTCTGAACCATAGGTCACCAACTATCCATTCCCATTACCCTCCTATATTAGATTTCCACTTGACTTGATGAGAGCTTTTTCAGAAGAGAGAGAGAGCCTCTCTCCAGACACCAATTTAAGGAGGCAAAGCAAAGTAATCAATTCACAAACCGGAGACTGCAAACTGAATTACTGGGATGGTGAGCCTGGTGGTGGTAGGGATCAGCAATGAGAGCCAGTTTCACACCTATCCATATCAAAGGCTTTCAGGGTAGGAGAAGGAGCCGTGAGCTTCTGAATAGTAGCAAGGGATCAGTGATGATTAAAGCTAACCTGGGCATAGCAAGATGGCCGTACAAGAGAACTGCGTGGAACTCATTCTTATGTTCCTGATTGATTTTCCAAGCTTCAGGCTTGGGAATGTATACCTCGGTCCTTTAAAGACAAAGTGAAATAAGATTTTGATGACTATCATTCTTGTCTAGATCAGTATAAAACACTATCTTAGAGATGAGATACACACCAAATATCTTTTTTCTGTACATATTTCACTTTGATTGTAAAACTGTTGATAGGTTGGTGCCAATCTTATTTAATGCTAAATATTCTTTAACCATTGTGCTTTGTTGACATTCCTCATTGCTGAAAGCTCTGTTGATTCTACTGCTCTATGTGTACATAATAATCACAAATTCAACCACTTTCCCTTTTCTTTAAATAAGTTTTACATTTTTCTGACTTTATTAAAACTCAGTATGCTGAAAAAATTAAGTGCTTACCCTTCCCTTTGCCAAAAACTGAGGTTGTGCATTTGATGAAGTTGACAAAATAGTTAAATGACTATAAAGCATAGTTACAACACCAGAGAAGGACGTATTTAAAGCAACACTATGTCTTAAAATAACAACAAAATCATTTTGATGGTACACTGACATGTAATACGGTGAGTGATGTCACTATAATTGCCTCTCTAGGCCATGGGGGCTTTCTATGGCGCTATATGAGACTGAAATCCCAGGCAGGATTTCTATCACTATACACAGCTTTATGGCACCACAACACAACAAAACCCTTTGGCAAGCAAGCTATAAGAAGAAGCAGAAAGTATATAATGTACTATGTATGTTTTTTGGAAGAAGCTAACTTGGTATTCTCAGTATGGTTATCTGACAGAGGCTGCAAAGAAACCATATAAGAAGTTGTTGGAGGAAGCGAGGAAGAGAAAACCCGAGTACATATTGGACTGGGTTTTACTCATTAGCCATGTTTCCATCTAATTTTCATGTGAATTTTAAGCTTACTTTTGAAATGTGGCAAAAAAGAAAAAAAAAGAAATTGCAAAATATGTGCATTTCCATCAGCTGGTTTGGACGGCAAGCATTACACATGGCTGTAATAAACAAGACGTATTAGTTCCAAACCAGAAACAAAACCAGTCGCATGAACCTGATGGTCATTGATCTTAGAAAAATGGAGAGAAGTCCTCAGAAATGTGTTTCAAGCGGGCAAGTTGCCAGCCATGTCTCTGTGTGAATATCCGGTGTTATGCCGAGTTTTGCATGCCTGCCAAAAATTGCATGCCCCTCCAAATAAGGCTTTTAAACGCTTTAATATCCTTTGTGGGGTTTATCAATGGTGATAAATGATTTGAAGTATACATTTTACTTTCAACGTTTAGAGTCGTTAATATTTTATTACACTCAGAAGTAGCATTCATTGAGATAGAGCAAAAATATGCGGTGATATCTGAAAAGGACCTTTAAGAGGTGAATGCATAATTTGGCAGAACAGATGATGAAGGCTACCTGCCGAGATTTGCATCCACCTCTTTCCTCAGCACAAATGAGCGTTACCAGCCACAAGGTGCATGCAATTCTCAGCAGGCATGCAGAACTCTGCACAACCGGGCAATACGGCGACAGCAGAAACAGCTGATCAGTTGTGAGTTACAAGTTGGCTACTTCAGAACTTATTCAAAAAAAGTGTTTCCATCTCCCCTTTACTCTTTTTCGACAAAGGCAAAAACCACCTCAAGATAACAAACTCTCACATTTGTTACGTTAGTAAGTGCGTCGGTTGCTGCTGCTGTTGGAGAGCGCCGGTGTCTAACTAGAGACAGGCAACATAACCGGGCTCAGCAGCCTCTTAAGACAGCTAAGAAGAGAAAAAGAGAGGCTGCCAGCCATTGCCGATAGCTTCATGAAATTAAAGGCATACATTTGCATTCTTTCTGTGTACACAGTTGCTATGTCTTGTCTGAAACAACAGGGTTCCCTAATAGCACAAAATACTTATCTTACATAGTGTTGCTTTTTATGGGCTATGTATTAAAAATATACTGTATATTCCTCAAAGAAAGAGGAATATAATGTATGTTATCTAATATATTGATGTTATATAGTGAAATATATAGTCATAGTATATTTTGACCCCCCTGTTAGATCTCCTGCTGGACAAAAAGTACTGTAGACAGAAATCATAGATCCAGCTGAAGAGACTGCAAACAGAAGAAATGAGTCATTTTCTGTGGAGGACTTGTTAGAACATCTAATCATTTTATTATTCAGGTTTATAGGCAATTCAATGATGATAAAACAATGTTAAGTAGGATTCGGAGATGTTAAAGAGGGTGCAAACATACAATTTAAAGGTCCGGTTTGGGTTTAGCTTTAAACATGCAAATTAGAAATAAATTGCCCATATATGACTGATATGATCATCTGCCCAAAATCATTTCACAGAGGCACATATGTGTGCATATTAATAAGGCGTCATGCCTGCTGGAGAACCTCAAAGCTTTTAAAAGCCCTCCCTCCTTCAGTCCTTCCACCAGTGGCAGGATACCCGTTGCGTTATGTAAATCATCTATGATTTGACACCAGCAGCCATAAATCTTCATTTGCTGGTAGAATAATAAAAAGGAGCTTTTTTCTGATTCTTCAAGCTGTTTTGTTAGGTAGGATAGTTCTGAATTCACATTGCAAGCTCTAACCTGCACCTTTTGACTGACTAAAGAGTATTATTGATGGTTTTCCCCCTAATTTGAATAGAAGTGCAACCCCTCACCTCCTATTAATTTCTCTCTGAGACATTGTTAGGCACTCAGGCTCATTAGCTACCAGGCTAGGTAAGGAAAAACAAGACTCTAAATAATTTCTCATTCTCTTATTTCTCATTATATAGCTCATCGGGCTTCAGAACAGCTGTTCTGTTAAAGCACTGGATGTATCTGCTTAGCTTTTAGATAACAAGTTTTGTCAAAGGTCTACTTATTGATTTTATTACAGCTTATTTAAGTACTCAGGATAAAATGCCGTAAAAATAGATCACATCTATATTTTATGTATTTACAACAAGATTGAAATGCACTCTGACTGAATGTGACATCCATCACTGCATATTTTAAAAGTCATAGCACATTCTGTAAAAAATGAGCCAGCCATGCATTAAAAGTGTCTGGTAGATGCTTAAAAACCGGCACACTGAATCATCCCATTGACATTGTTGTCCCAACAAGCGAGATAGTGCCGGCATAGGATGTAGACATTTTAAAATGCCAGCCTATCTCCCTTTCCATCTTCCATAGTCCTTATTGATTGTGCACCAGAGGAAGTGCATTATCCACTGATACAGCATGTGGAAGTGTAGCCTATCACAGAAATTATTTCCATGATTTTAGAACTGACAATGTAATATGTCAGCATATTCCCTTCTTACTATACTCCTATTCTTCTAAGTTTCACTCTCTCTCTCGAAACATTTAAAAGTGGAGACACTGCAGAAATAGCACCGTGCCAAATTATGTTTATCAAGAGCAAGCGTTTCAGCCTATAATCCATAGGGCTATTCTTGAGTGTATTGCTTGTGTGTGTATGTGAGTGAGACATTTCCCTCCTGTGAGTATCAGATTCATCTCATCTCTCTTCATTACCATTACACATCCATCCACAGCGAACTGAACCTCTGGCTGTGGTACTTCACAGAGTATTACTCTGCAGTCCCCCATCTGCCCTGGCAACTTCCCCTTGCCACTCAGGCCCAATCTACCCATATTACTTCCCCTCAGGCTTCATCTAAGTGTGACTGATAGGGCCAACACAGGGAAACAAACAGCAGGCCTAACTTTCAATAGGATTAAGGGCTGTGAAGCATCAGCACAGTCTTTCTTACTCCCTCCCTCAACAATAGACAAGCTCAGCCCGTTTGCATGCATGTAGAAGTGACTGTGGATGAAATAGACTTGAATAAATGTGGGATAGATTGAAAATCTCAGAGCCAGAGCAGATTTTATTAGCTAGTCAACAATGCTAGTGGGGGGATACTGTAATAAATGTACTAAAACTACTAGGGTGGAAAGAGAGGACCATTGCTGTCAGACTGTGTGCTTGGAGCCTGTCTCGCTTCTCTATTATTCACACCCACCAGTGACGCCATGTTATTGAGGAAGCGCATGCTGTTACAAAATCAGATCGGGGTTAGATTTCATGAGGCTCCTGAGTGCTCTTACTGTACAGCCCAGTGCTGCTCAGTTACGGGTCATTAGGAACGCCTGCTCCTGCCGTGCACCACACCAGTCCATTAGTGGGCCGCCTAGTGCAGTCTGCTGGCTGGGCGAGGTTAAACTCTGGTGGAGAGGATCCTGGCCTGCACAATATTCTGTAGAAATACAGTACTGAGCAATGAATAAGGGGTGTTTTAAAGTGATGAGTTAAAAATTGAAGAGTTTTCTATTGCATCTCTGGAACTTTTGTGATTATTATTATAATTGTTATTTTAATGTAATAGTCATACAAAATTTATCCTTACAGTGAAATTTAGAATCAGCAGCACTTCAGCAGGGTACATGCTGGCTGACGTAGAAGGATGTGGAAGAAGGGTAAAAATACACACACACTTTTTCTAGTTGAAAACATCATTGAAAACATGTAATGTTATTTATTTTAAATAAAATCACCACCCAATGTCCAGCATTTTTTTTCAACTGTAACAATGGGCCCCAAGTCTTCAGGACCTCAAACAGAACAGTAGGGTTATTTATTACTGGCTTTTATGTATTATGATGTAATTCTGTAAACATTATACAACCATAGAGAGAAAAATTTACTAATTTAACCTTTCTACTGAGTAGATGGTTTCAAAGTTGCTCATATAGTAACATTTAGGAAACCTTTACATTTTAGGTTGCAATTTAGCTAGATTCAAAACATTAAAATCAGTTCAGTCAGGACAACTTTAATTAAAAACTGATATTGTGCCGCTGCTCTGCTGTAGTTATGTTGGCAGTATGGCTCTGTTCTGGGATCTCCCTACCCTTTCGCAAGCCTATGTGGAAAGCCTTGAGGCGGGGAGAGCACACCTCTCTCCCCTTTTACGTGTCTACGTGGAAAAGCCATAAGGCAGGGAGAGCAGGTATTAATACTGAATTACATGATTAATCAGGTACAGCCTGAAAGATGGAGCTGGGGTGGTGGCAGGTTATGAGCTGCTTGTAGAATAAGCAGCAAGGATGGGCAGGCTATAGCAGCCTGCCCATCCTTGCTATCCCTTGCTATAGCAGGTTGGAGGACCCAAATGCAGGACACTGAGCTGAGCAGGTACAGTTCAAAAGGTTTATTTTGGCAAACTAAAAGCGAGCACACTTACAATGAGTTGCTGAGTCCAGGTACAGTTCAAACAAACAAGATGATCCAACAGAAAAATCCAAGGGGACATAATCCAGAAAGCAGAAAAACAGGAGGACACGACGAGACAGCGCAAGACAGGTTACACACTACAACGCACTGCAATGACTGGACAAAGACTGAAAGAAACAAGCAAGCATATACACACAGGGACTAACGAGCAGGTCCGGAGCAACACAGGTGACACAGATGAGACTAATGAGACACAGGCAGGCAGAGAGACAGCAGGGGAAAACAGATAGACACTAACAGGTTGCAAAACACAAGACAAAACTCTAACTGGAACTCAAAACCCAGAACAGACAGGACAGACCAAGTAACTAAGAAATACAGGCAACTCCACAAGACAGAACAGACTAAGATGGCTGAACAGAACAGAACAAGCTAACACCGAGTGATCATAACCAAATAAATAAAAGAAACTGGCAGGGAACATAAACTGACATCTAACAGACAGACAGAAACCAATAATGACAACAACACTAGGTAGAAACAGAATTAAACAAGAACAAAACCCAAAAACAGAAAACATGGACTGAACTATAATAACACAGACTGGACAAGGTAGACAAGATAACAGAACAACACAAACAGACTCCCCAACAAGACACAACAGACAGGATCAGACCAACAAGCAAAAACACACGGAGTAAACTGGACACAAGACAACAGACAGGACTGAAACCTAAAACACAGACTAAATAACAGATACCAAACTGACCAATGAACAAAACTCATAGAGACAGGCAGTGTGACACAACTTACACATTAATGTTATCAAATCAAATATTAAACCAAAGCTATTTGCCACTGCCAGGGCATTACCTTTTCTCCAGCTTGTTAAAGGAAGTTACCATCAGAGTCCAGTTTTCTTGGGGTTTTTTCTGAACAGGTATCAGCAGAAACATTTTTCTTTTATCAGGGAGCAGCATAAACAGTCTGTTTAATCAGTATCAAGTTTCCCTGTTAGAGTGAGATGAAGTTGTCGAGCACAAGGTGTAGCGACAAGTGGGTGCGTTCCTGTTAAACTGTCTCGGTTGTGCTCGCCTCACGCAGATGCCCGCCGCTGAAGTTGAATTGTCTTGAACTTTTTGTACATGATGCGCAGCACAAATCATTGGAAGAGAGACTGATCCTCGCTGTTAGTGTGTCTATTGCTGTTTACAAAATAGGACATCAACAGGAGGGAATGCGCCTGGCAGAGCATCACCGCAAAACTAGATGAAGGCCTATCAGGTTAAGTTATGTAGTCTACAATTTTAATTTATCAAATAGGCTACAGCTGTATAGTGCACAGAAGCCATTGCCATGGTTACTCTCAATAGAGAGCCTGCCGTTTACTCGTGGAGCACTGTCTTAATTCTCCCACATGCTGCATCCTGCCGAAGCCTCCCTACACTGCTTGTTTGGGTGGGTGATTTGCAGGCTGGTCAACATCCCACCCCTCCTGTGACCCATGGTTTGACTGTAGGCCTATGTGTATTCAGAGCCAGTGGGCAACGGACTTTTTTAAAAACTGCGTTAACATGCAATAAAATAATTGTTGTGATAATTAATTAATGCATTAACGCAATAAAAACGCATTATCGTGCCCAGCCTTAATATTTTTTCATCTCTTCAGTGTTCTCAATAATGGTGCTGACAGTCACTGGCAGATCTGCAGGGGTAGACCAGACAACAGGGATCTTAAGGACATGCTGTGTGACTATTACCGACATCCTCCTTGTGAAACATAACAGAAACTCTAATAAGTGAGAAACATAAAGTTTCCTCGTATGTTGAGAAAAGTGTGTAATTGCTCAGAGCACAAAGGTATTGTTTGCTGTAGGTGTACCAGAAGGAGTTGCAGGAGTGGAGGAGTAGGAATATTGCGAGTGCATTGGCACCCTTTCATAAATCCTAAAACAACCAATATCAGTCATCCTAACACCAGAAAACAAACCCATGTGAGCAACTGAACTTATTGAGAATAAAATGTATCTTGGGGGGGGAAATCCTACTTTACAAACTGCACAGACCAAAATCACATTCTATCAACTGCATCCAAATGAGGTCTCTCCATGGGAGCAACTCTTAGTGAGTGTGGGTTTCAGGGCTCCATCTCTCCTGCACTGCTGAGTTCATGCGTGATTGAGAGTCATTTAATTCATGATGCTGCAGTTTCTATTTTCACTACTGGGAGAAAACAAATCCCCTGACACCAACTGAAATGTTGTCCACCCTGATAACTTCAAAACGAAATGGTGAGAATTTAAATAAATAATAATTAATTGCACTCAATAACCTCTGTGTTTAATAGATGAGTTAACAAATTAATCGGTTTATAAACATTTTCTTTGTTATAAAATAGTCACCAGATGAAGAAATGCATCTTAGTGCACTTTGCATTGGTTTCAATATTCAAATTTGATGGTTGTTTCTTGAATGATCCTTTGGTTGGTTCACATTCGCTCCACCTCCATGCCCAAGGAGCTTTTTACCTCATACATACCAGACCATTCAGATATGTGCTATATTACTTTTTAATGAATTGTTTTTCCATCCCAGTGATTTGCACAACGACCTTTTGGGGCATGAAAGTCTTCTGAGCTGATGACGATGACGAGCAGGAAATGAGCCTTAATATAAACCTGATTCAAATGCAGCTTTGCAGTTAATGCACTGGTCAAACTGTCTAATGCATTTATTGCCACTGTTATTATTAAAGATTTATTTATTGAGGCAAATAAGAACAATTTTGTTTTCAAAATCAGAATCAGAAAAAGCTTTATTGCCAAGTAGCTGATTACACATACGAGGAATTTGCTTTGGAGATAAAGTGCTCCACGAAGACAAACATACAGTTGACATAAATAAATGCAGAAATATATATGGAATAAACAGATATAAATATATAAATTGGCAAAATCAAAAATGTAGAAGAATAACAATTAACAATTAAAACAAATATGTGTAATATGTGAAATGAAAAAATATTTACATGTGCAAAGATATACAGTTTTGGGTGGGGGTTGGGGTGTTGGGGGACACAGGCCTTGTTAATGAGGCTAGCTGCAGATGGGGTTTTAGATTCAGATTTAAAACATTAATATCAGAACCTGAAATGTAATCTGGATTACAGAGTATGCACTATGTGCTTTACATTAACGGTATGGAAATGACTCGCTTAAACTTTGAAATTAACTTGTGTTTTTGGCCTTCAAAATCACTACAATACTATCTTAAGATGATGATTTATTCAGATTCAAAATAGCTTAAATACAGAAACAGCAATTTTATGGATAAGATTATGAAATGTTGAATAAATGCAGATAATTATATTGTTACACATTTTAACCCCAGGTGGTCTCTCACTGAAATACTCACATGTGGACTGCTCTAAACTAGAATTAATGAGAAAGACACTGCAGTAAAATTTACAGAGGGCAACACTAAAGTTTAGAATGTATGAATATCTTCAGACCATTAGAGGCAATTAAGACCAGCCTTTAACATGAATTATATCTCCTTATCAGCAAATGATATTACTGCATTATTGACTGATAGGTTTCTATGTTTTGTTTCAATCTGACCTTCATTCTACAGCTGCAGGATAACCTTGTACTCCCTTTTCCTCACATCATACATCAAAAAACAACAAAAAAAGCAGTTTTTGCTCTCTTTTTTTATCTACACTCTTGACCCTTATACTTTTCAACCTGAAATTGACCGTACCTGTTCAATGTCTCCAATCAAAAAGAGCAGTTTGAGGATTATCTAACAACAATGAGGTGGGGTATTAAGTTAGGGTCAGGAGATCCCTGGATCTCTCATCTTTTGATTAAAGTAGCATTAAGATGCAGAGTAGAGAATTCAGCATCACTTTGTTTAACAAGAAAGGGAGGGTGTAGAGACCAGATAATATGCAATACTTGTCAGACACTAAATTATTATTTGTCCCTGTCTTTGCATTTTAATTTCATGTACAGTGTATTTCAACAAGGAAAGTGATTAAATATGACATTGCACATGTGCCAAAGGTTATGAGAAAATTATTTCTGATTTGACGGGGAAAAAAAATCCAATAAAGCTTAGCCGTGCCCCAGAAAGGGAAGATGTTAAACCGAGGCTGGTTTTTCATTTAGACTCTACCTCTTTCTCTCCCTCCATTTTCCTGTTCCCCTATTACCCTGCAGCTCAGAAAGGAAGGGAAATGATTTTAGTTGAGCTAGCAGAGTAGTACGGACGGACTGACTGAGACCTATAGCAGGGGTTGTGTCTGTGTTTGAGGCTGAGCTGGAACAGGAAGATCTAAAATATTATTGTATTCATAATTCATTTCAAGCGTCCCGCTAGCCCTAAATTCAACTGCAACACACATAGTTTGTTTGTTTCACCCTAACAGCACGCATCATAAAGATGCTGCTGTGTGTGTTTGAATGTGTGTGTGAATATGTTCATCTGAGTGTGTGGCCTCACGTGTGCACACGGCTGTGGATGCTTGCAAATGTCCTGTCCCTTGCGGGTGATGTGAGGGTTTTTTCCAGATGGCTGCCAGTGAAACTCAGTCTTAATCGTGGTCCACACCTGTCCTCTCAGGGGTAATGACAGCATCCCACTTCTCTCTCTCCCATTTGATGTCTCCTTCCACTATCCTCCACACCTCTGTCCTCTGTCACTCGACATGTTTTTCTCTTCCCCAGTGGTGCAGGTGAGTTTTTTCGGCTCTCACCTCTACCCCAACATCCCCACGGATGTCGTAGCAAGAGAGTAGACTATAACTATTCATCATCTTATTAGCGCCGACATTAAGCTGCATTTGTTTACCGAGTCCCTGTCTATAGCATCCTAATTATGTGAATGAAAATGTCACAGACCAGATGTTTCAGGTGCCGGTGTTGAAAATACTACACCTTCCAATAGGCGTTAGTGCAGACAGAAGGAGTGAAATGAGCATAGAGAATCTTAGAAATGACCATCATCACTTACAGGCTTTTCTGATACATACATACCTACACACATACATAATAGAGGCTGTTAAATAATGTAAATTGAATTAAAAACAGCAAAATGTTGTTTTAACGACACTTTCTATCTCAAATACTATTTACTTTTCCAATTTTCTTAGGCT